TACAACCTGTTTTTCAAATCCGAATTATATAAATTCGGATTAATCCCGTAGTATAGACATAGACTTCGCTTACAAATCATCATTTGAAATTATTAGGTTGGCCAACATCACTAAAATGAATGCACTGACATTGTCATAAAAAACAGCAGCTGTATAAGAAAGCTAGTCTATGTTCATAGTTTTCAAATCTATTATACTTTTTCAGATACATGTATTTTATCATACACTGTATATGCTTTTAAAGTTTGTATTAATGTTTCCGTTTCAATTCAAATCGCCAAACAGTCACTAAATTGGCATGTAACTAGTTCACAAAACCGGGGGGAGGGTGTGTAGGGAAATCCCTGGTGGGGAGGCTCGGGGCGGCCCCCAGCAGGCTCAGCCGGGCGCGGATGGGCAGGGCCCTGTCAGGCTGCCTGGCAGAACGAGGCGTGGGGAAGCCGCTCCCTGTCCGCAGCCCCCAGCGGCACCTCTGTCCCCCCGCAGCAGCGGCGGGGGCGGGGGGAGCCGGCTGCCGCGCCTGATTGGGCGGCTCCCCGCGCAGGCGCCGGGGGAGGGAAGCCAGGCTGGGGGCTTCGCCCGGGAAACGGGAGTGTTTACAGCCGCCTGCCCGGAGCGGCCCCGCAACGGCCAGGGCCCTGCTGCCGCCACCGCCGCCATGCCCGTGCGCTTCAAGGTGAGGGCGGCCGCCAGCCCGGCTCTCCTGGGGGCTGCCTCCGGACTTGACCTGCCTTAGTCTCCGGCCTGGTCTCCCCGTCCCGCCTTGCGGGCTGGGCACCGGCGCTGTGCGAACCAAGCGGGCACAGGGCGGGTGATGAGCTGCGTGGAGCGGGGTCAGGGTCGGTACAGGACCTGTGTGGGCACTGGGCCGGTACGGGATGGGGGGATGGTGCAGGATCTGTGCGGGCACTGGGCCGGCACGGGATGGGGGGATGGTGCAGGATCTGTGCGGGCACTGGGCTGGCACGGGATGGTGCAGGACCTGTGTGGGCACTGGGCTGGCACGGGATGGTGCAGGACCTGTGCGGGCACTGGGCCGGCACGGGATGGGGGGATGGTGCAGGACCTGTGCGGGCACTGGGCTGGTACGGGATGGGGGGATGGTGCAGGATCTGTGCGGGCACTGGGCTGGCACGGGATGGGGGGATGGTGCAGGACCTGTGTGGGCACTGGACTGGCATAGGATTGTTTGTGTGGGCACTGGGGTACTGAGCTAGAGTACAGGATGGGGGTTGTGTCCTGGTACAGGACCTTTGTGGCACCAGGCTAGCACAAGATGCAGAATATATAGAAAAATAAGGTTCTTGCTCCAAAGAAGATTGATTCAGACAAATATGATCCAAGGAACAAGTTTGAGATGAACTGGAACCATGGTATTTATTTTTAAAAACGTAGTTAAAACTTAAAATAGTATGCAGATTCTAGGTGGTATCCTTGACATGTGAAATGGTTCTGTATTTGCACTGTTTCTGACATTACTGTCAGAAAACAGAACAAAAACTTTTTGCTTACTTTGATCAAGATTGTTTTAGCAGCAGAGTTACCTAGCTGCTTATCTGACCAATTATGCTTTACAATGTGCCTGTGGATATTTAAAAGTGCTGGGAGATCTGTTGCTGTTGGGGGCTAGGTGAAAAAATGACACTACTCACAGTGTATGTCCATTTGCTGTAGGGATTGAGTGAATATACGAGGAACTTCAAATGGAAAAAATCAGATCTGTCAGAGTTTTGTAACCCTGCAGGAGAGCAAAAATCCTCAAGGGCTGGACTTCGATCTGATCAACTTGGTAAGCTATTAGAAATAACTGCCATAACTCATACATCATCTTTGCACAGAGCCCAGGTTTTGCAAAGGGTGAACTTCTAGTTCACATTATTTATCTAAAGCCAGAAATGTACATGTCATTTAATGGTGTATGTCAGTTAGCACAAGATAGGTTGTATTGCAGGGGTACAGGGTGGAGGTAGTAAAGCAAATTAGTTATAGTGAAATAATTAGGCAGTATTGCTCTTTGCATGAAAGAAGACAGAGGCAGGAATGGGAAGAGATGAGTAGGAAAAGTTTGAACTAGTATATAGGCATAAGAGATTAATGAAGGGGTATAGATATGAAATAGTCTGCAGGGTGTACATATTAAAGTAAGATTGGTTGCCTTGTTTGAGCTCGACATTTAAGCATTATAAAAGCCACCTACTGGTAGTAAAATTGGTCATCAATGTAAACACCAGGTAATTTGATAGGATAATTACTTGTCTTGCCAAAGCTACCTTCCACCTCATCACCTTCTGCTCTCGGGGTATGTCTACACTACCCGTTGGATTGGCGGGTAGCGATCGATCTAGCGGGGGTCGATTTATCGCGTCTAGCCTAGTCTAGAGTGCTCTCCTGTCGACTCCTGTACTCCACCACGAGAGGCGCAGGCGGAGTTGACGGGGGAGCTTTGAATGTATTTAGCAGTGTTGATTTTTAAGTTAAACAGCTCCCCCCACCTCCTTTGGAAAGTCCTGAGATGGAGTTTTGCAGATAGCATTTACCTGGCCATCAGAGTTTTTTCTGTCTGACCGTCCGTCTGTCCGTCCGTCCCAGGACACAAAATAAGAGGTCGGAACTATGTAATCTCTGCTGGTTCTCTCTGGTCTCTCAAACCAACATGGTTTTCAAGTGGTCAGTGACAGCAAGACTCTCAAAGCAATCCCAAGAAAGCTATGAGCATTCCCTTTGATTTGAATCCAGAATTGCTAACACCAAACATTCAAAAATCATGTCTTAGCCCCAAAGTCACAGAATTGGCTCACATCTCAATTAAAAAAATTGGAAATAAAAATTACCCTTCTGATTTGAGCCTTTGTAAACTTGTCACATTTTCAAGCTTTTTTCCATAACCGTGAGGACTAGAAACTTTAAACTAAGATTCTCAACTAATCACAGGCCTCTGGGAGCTAGGGATTTAAGCTAAACATCAAATATCACAAGACTCAAAATCATGTGGGTTCGCAAAAAAGCCATCTGTTTTCATAGCTTTTGTTGTGCTTAGGTTATGCCTCCCAGGCCTTTGCTTCCATTTTATGCGCCCACCTCTTTTTTCTGGTTACATTTAATCACACACATCCCCGGAACACTACTCACAGACACAGATTGGTGTCTCCACAGACTGCTAGTATTTGGCTCACTTTTGGCTCTTTCTGTTGAAATGCATACTTAATAGTTTCTCTTAACAGATTGTGGCAATTTAAGAATTACTCATAACAGTTACCCAAACAAACAGATAAGTCTGCTTGAGTGCTGAAAATTTCTTTCTGCCATATTCCCAGTGTTCCTTCAAAGGTTACATTACTACTAATGGAATTTATATTCTTTGTAGCCCAAACATTCTATGCATCTGACATTTTATATGCTACCTTCTGCCTGAAAAACAGTTTATTCTCTTACCAGCTGCACCCTAGTTCCCCATAGATTAGTTTATATACTCCACAACTATTTATCTCAGCCAAATAGAGTCCTTTGTTAGTCGTTTAACACTCTCCAGCAGGATTCTGTTGTCACACTTTATTTAACTACTATATGTTTAACCACCCATTTTCCTGTTAAAATGACATAGTAATTTTGTTCATATTATCTTACATAAGTCAGCTATTTTTTATTGTTTAAAACCATCTCAGATAATCAGTGTCTCTTTTTTTTGTAAATATGAAAAGATGTTTCCTAAGCTTTAAAAATATTGTGTAATGTATTAAAGATGTTAAGATATTTTGAAAGCTACTCTAGAAGATTTTGTTTCTTAAAAGAAGGAATCTGTGCAGGTGTCTGTGCAGAATGTTATTACGCATATGGTAACAGGTCACTGCTCTCCAGTGACTGTGAGGTGAACACCTATTCAGCAATGCACCTATTCAACATGCATAAGTAGTTTAGGAAGTTCCATACCACACTTGGCCAGTGCAGGTTGATGATTTGATAATTTTAGTCAAATTAATCTTCTTAGTGGCTACGGGAAATTTCTGCCCTCAACTATGCTCACTGACTCCCATTGACTACACTGGAAGTTGCAAAAGAGGTAGAATTTGGCTTGATCGTGTGACAGGCTAAGCACCCACATCTCGCACTGACTCAGCTGGGAATTAAAGGCACTCAGCATGTATGTAAGAGCTCAACATTTCACAGGCCCATAGTTTGTAAACTGTCTTTGCTCAAAGATATACAAAATTTATTAAAACTCAGTCTAGTGTTATATATTCAGATTCTCATCCCAGTATGTTAACATTCTGATCTTGTGTTCCAGTGTCTTTAAATCCTAATAGGCGTATTTTATTGTGCTCAAGTTTAATGCATGTTTTGTAGGAATCACAAGAGAGCCAAACTTCATTTCCAAGAGAAGGGTGCCTTACTTCAACCCACAGATTTCAAAGTCCTTTGAATGGAGAGGGGACAGCGATTTGGAGGGATATTTGGATGACGCACCAGAAGTTGAAGGCACTGGGCCTGCAGAGTCACACACAGATAACCACAGTAATGATAGAAATCTGGAAAACATTGAAACACCTGATGCACCCAGGCTTCCTAAAAAAATTCGGTCCCACTCTGCAGATTCTAGAATTGAATCAGCCATCACCCTTGCAGAAAACAGTAGGAAGAAGTTGTCACCCCCAACTCCAGTGAACCAAAAAGCAGTATTTGTACCTCCAAAAAAGCAGTTAGAAAAAATGGATAATGGGGTAGGGATCATTAGAAAACCTTTTCCCCTTTCTTATAGTCTATGGTTGAAGTTGATAATGTGACTATTACAGTAAATTAAATACAGTTAAGCAAGCTCTTGCTTAAAACTATTTCTTATTTTTGTTATAACTTTATCTCTATGGAACTCTGCATTTTGATGTTAATCTATGTTAAGACTCCATTATGTTGGAAGAACTGTTTGTTAGGACCAGATTCTGATTCCACTTAAGTCCATGGGAGTTTTACCATTTATTTCAAGTGAACTAGAATTTAGTCCATAATTTGTAGTCTTCAAAGATGGTGTTGAGAATCAGATAGCATATCTTTCATCGAGTTACTTGGCCTGATCTAAGGATGTGGATTATAACAGCTTAGTTAAAAGAAAATTGCAGCAACAGAAAGTAGAGGAGAACAATAAATGGAGATTTTTCTGATTCATTGTTTTATGTTGACAGTTTCACAGAGTCCTGCAAAAGAAATCAGGCATGAATATTTCACCTTCAAATAGTTTCCCCAGAAATTCTGAATATCAAAGGCAGTTTATATGGAAAACCCCCCCCAAAAAACTCTCCAATGCTTGCAGCTGACCAGGTAATTTTAAAGAATCTGAAATATATAATTTAGTTTCAGTCAAGAAAGTCATTTAATTACCATAATTTCCTTATATTTTGTTGTGGTAGACTGGTATGTTATTTACAGTGCCACTTTTGTTTTCTAGTATATAAAAGCACATTAATTCATATATGATCCCTTATAAAAGGATCTGATCCTGCATCCCCCTGTGTAAGCAAAACTCTCATTGCAATTTCATGTACTTCAGTGGGAATTTTGCTTGTGTAGAGTCTGCAGGATCAGTTCAATAATAGGTAGGTGTTGTAGTATCACATTGTTTAAATTATGAAAGACTTCACAGAGAGCTCCTTTTCATTGAGATTCTATTAGTAATCTGTATGATGCTCTTCTAATTGGTGCTCATTAAAACTGCTGTTCCATAGCAAAGAGCAGGAAGTCTGAAGCAATAATTTTTTTTTTGCACAGTTTACTCCAAAAACATACAGCGTAAGGGCTCTGATCCTGCACATGCTTACAAGTGTGCTTAAATTTACTACTATTTACTACAAATTTGAGATCAGTGGGACTACTCAGAATAGTAAAGTTATACACATGTAAAGTGTTAGGAGTATCAGGGTTTAAGATTGAATTTTTATCATGAGATTCTAGTGTTATTAAGAGAGTATTGTATCTTGACTTTCTCACCTATATCTATAAACAACCTAATGAAAAGTACATCTGAATATTACAGTAGTAGAGATACCTGATCCTTGAACAGGTGTATTAAGAATACCCAAATTATCTTGACCTCGAGATAATTGGTCTAATCCAAACTCATATAGCAAAGCTGAGTAAAATTTATCTCTATGGCATATGGCGTGTCCTTTAAGTCTCAATAGTCTGTGGGAAGATCAGGTCTGATCAGTTGTAATAGTCAAGCAAATTCTATATCTTAGTTTATAATGCAGAATTAATTGCAGAAAAGGGAATGGATAAATTACTGTGCAATAAGAGCCTTATTTTAAACCATGAAAAAGTCCATCAGTACTTGCTGACAAGCTGTAATGTAGGTTTTATCGTGTATTGTTTCAAAAATTTATGATCTTGAATATAAATCTAAAGGTGAATTGCAAAGATTTGTCAACCACCTTCACCCCCAACCAAAGAAAATATGCTCTTTTTAAAAAAAAATCAAGTCACAAATAAGGAAAAGTAGTTGGGTCTAGACTTAGAGATGTCTCTGAATTATATCCATGCTAAGAAATAAACTTAATTTCAGTAATTATTTTTAAGTCATTTCCCCATTTATCCTATAAATCTAATAGGTAACTTTTCTACATGCAGTATTTGTTCACCCTTTCCTTTCTGTGTGCATATTGGAGGAGTCACTAAGGTAACTAATTTTGAAAATTTGACCTTAAGATTAGCAAATTAACTTCTTTGTTTTTTAAATTTAAAGGTTATTCACAATACAAGTAAATCCATTCCCCCATTTAAGTCTTCCGCAATTATCCCTGAAACTGAATATGAGAGAAGTTTCAAAGTTTCTCCTCCAGCGATGGTACCAAAACTGAGGTGTGATTTGGAAGAGAGAGAATTTCCTGTATGTGCACCAGTAAATATCTCACCGGAAAGAAAGGTATATACATCTTTGAATGGTATTTCAGTAGTATGTTTTTAGCGTTTTTTTCTGTTAAGTTTTATAATTATTACATTTGACATTGCAGTTCATTGGGAATGGTTCTGCTCTAAAAAGAGACTCTAAAAATAACATTGTGGGGCTCCCTGGTTGTGTCTCTGAGATTTCTGTGTCAAGTACGTTCAGTTTATAAGTGAAAAGATTTTTCCTTTTGCTAACTGCCAACCCAAATCCTTAGCTTGGCTCTGAGATTCTTTCCTTTCTGTGTACTGCTGCCAGCAATAAGGATTCTGCCAGCCAACTTATGCCCTACTTGGCACCTGTGCAGTCTCTTGATGCCCAAGAAGGAGTAGAATTCAGTTAACTTTCTATTGAGTGTGTTGGTTGTCTTAGTCTAACAGGAGTAAAAAGCAATAATTTTTTTGTAATCACAAAAGTCCAAAGCTATGCATTTGAGCATGTACAAGGAACAAATCCAATGTGTGTAAATGTACCAATTTTACAGTCAATTTTCAGACTATAGTTACACTTTAAAAAAAAAAAAGGGTCAGGGATTGTAATTTTTATTCAACTCACTTTTTAAATTGATAGCACACCATGTAGTATAGATTCCAGTGTCTAGTTCAAACATTAGGATGTCTTTTGTAAAGCCCAGAGAGCAGTCAGCTACCTTTTAGGTCTTACGTACACTAAGTTATTTTGCCAAAGATTTCTTACCATTGCTATTGCCAGTTCAGCTGCACTACCACCAGTGCACTTGAAGTTTAGAGAAGGTGTGGATTGTTGATGCCAGGTTTGGCACCAATTCATCTTGATTGAATTGGTTTAGAATACACTATGGTAAAAACACCGGTGGTGACCGGGGCTTTTTTCCCCGGTAGCAGAGCTGAACCAATTATACCAGTAGTGGAAAATGTTTAGAAAAAAAAATCTGTGTAGACACAGCTTTCAGGGAACATAATGATAGTCTTTTTATTAAATTCAGATCCACTGGAACAGTGGTATTCTGTTCGGCTGAAGAACCTTGAAGTATCAGAGGATAGTGACCTCAGTTCCAGAATACATAAAATCTAACCTACTTTGCACAGTAGTAGGATAAACAAGATTTTTCTGGTATGCTGCTCACTGTTTTACCCCATTTTAAAGCCATACAGAGTAGGCTATGCATTCTTCAGCAATGAGGTATGGATGGGACTCTGTTCAGTCCATCATATTTGTTTCTTGATAAACCAGCTTGAGCCTTCTCTTGCTTCTCTAGCAAGTATGAAGAAAATCTGAAAAGTTTGGGGTTTGGTTTGTTTAAGTTTTCTGCTTATTTTTAAACATTGGAAATACAGGTCATTGTGTACCCTGGAAGGGAACTGGAGAATTAAGTAAAATTATAATATTACAAGAGAAGAGACAGATGAGCAAATGAAGGAGTAAGGAATTTTCAGTTACACTGTCTGAAACATTTTTTATACATATTTATCTTGAATGATGAATATATATTTGGGAGAACAGTGTGTTTCTAAAGATTCATCACACCCGCCCCCTTCAATTACAGTGTGCTCTCGCAATATACATCTAAGGGCCTCCAGCAAAACCAGACAACCACATGTGACAAAGCTGAGATTTCAGGTAAAAAACAAGCAGGAAAAATGAAAAAATTGAACAGGGGAAAAACCCTCAAACCTTTTTGTAAATCACAATGCAAAAAAGGGCACAAGCCCAGTTTTCTTCTAAAATTCTTCTCAGGTCACTTTCAGGGGCTTTCTCACAAAATAATAAAAGAAATGCAAAAATTCCTCCCACTTTAATGCAACATCAACAACTTTTTTTTTTTTAAATGTCAGAAATGCAAAGTTAAGATTTATATAGCAGTGTTAACTTAGCCACCTTGCATAGGTGTAGTACTATTTTATTCCTGTGGTTTTTTGTTAAATGTGTAGTTTTATGTTAAATAGGGTTACCATACGTCCATTTTTTCCCAGACATGTCTGGCTTTTCGGCACTCAAACCCCCGTCCGGGGGGAATTGCCAAAAAGCCGAACATGTCCGGGAAAATGCCGGCCGGGCACTTCCCCTCCCGCGGTGTCTCTGCTCCTCCCCTGACTCTTCGGCTCTGTTTAAGAGCCGAGCTGCCCGAGCGCTATGGGCTTCAGGCAGCCCCCTTGCCTCCGGACCCCAGCCGCCGGCCGGGCACTTCCCCTCCCGGGCTCCGGCCGCGG